AGGCCAGTCAAGTTCCTCCACCCCAATTTAGCTCCTCCATGTCTTTATGGACCTTGCTTTGAGCACTGGTGCGCAGTCATGTTGGAACAGGAAGGGGCCATACTCAAACTCTTCCCACAAAATTGAGAGCATGAAATTGTCCAACATGTCTTGGAGTTCAAGGAGTCCCACTAGGATTGCTACAATCACCTTTGTTAGTAATGGAAGAGATTTTGGAATGCCTCTCAGGAATTCTGTGAGCATCATTGGAAGTCCTGGCAGAGATTCTGTAAGTTCTGACAGAGATGCTGCAAGCACTATTGGAAGTGCTAGCAGAGATTCTAGACGTTCTGGCAGAAGATCCTGGAGGACCTGGTTGCCCTGGGAATCCTCGAAATGGAGAGATAGGAGGTGTAGGAACATGTCCTGGGAATGCCGAGATGGATGGTGAAATGCTCTCTTAACAAAGACTCTATAAATCAGAAATGTAATACAGATCAGAAACAAGTTAAATATGCAAGTTGCAGAAGATTATGACATCCATATAACTGTGCAGTCATGTAAGATGTGCGCAATGTTTTATCTCCAGCAGTAACAGTCTACATTTTGATAACTAATATCAATCCTTGTTTATTGCTCAGGGCCAGCTTGGGAAAATGTTGCAATGCTTCGTATTCAATGATCATGACGCAGGAGAATTCTGTGATTGGACAAATTATTCACTTTGACGCAGAAACTAAAATACAACAAAACATCACCAAGCACATTTACAGTCTGTTCCCGAAGGTGAGTGCAGGTCAAGGAATTGGGTATTATCCCATTTTTCTAAAAGTCTATTTCAGGATATTTTAGCCACACACAATGCGGATGAATATAATAATAGGAATTTTACTCCAGAAAAAGAAATATTATGCCAGTCACTAACTGAACCCATAGCATAGCGGACTTTCATGAAATGAATGGAAAGAAAAATAACGGGAATTTTTCACCTCTCCACTCCAGAAAAAGAAATATAGATATGTTTCCAGTCATTCTTTCTCTAAGCTGAACCCATAGCATAGCAAAGACTTTCATTGAAAGTGAAGAAAGAAAAAACGTTAGCTAGAGAGGTGAAGGGTTAGACCCCCTTTCATGTTTATTACTATCTGTGTTCCTGCTGGAGACATTCGCCCTCTATTTGTTTTGGTGATCATTGTCCTTGAGACATTAAGTATTATTTTCTTTTGAGCTTGCAGTGTGGTGACAAAAACAAAACACCAAAGTTAACCAAAAAAGTGTATGTGAACACATACACAAACATTGCACTTAGGGTGTATCATGTGGTCCCATCCAGAGGTGGATGGACCCTTCACAAAACTCTTGACTGGGCAAGACACACTTAGGTCCACCTAGCCAAAAGGCCAGGCAGACCTCACTCCTCTTGGCCAGCTGAAGTCAACCAATGAATACTAGGTGAGGGTCTCTCCCTTGGAAGGACTCTAAGGGCCATACATCCCACAAGTGGAAAAAAATTATATATATATATAGTATATACAGTAGTCCCTTTATCTATTTTTATATATATATATATATATATATATATATATATATATACAGTTGTGTTCAAAATAATAGCAGTCAGACATCACTAACCGGATCAATCACTGTTTTTGGTAGAAATTATATTTCTACATGGCAAATAATTTCCTAGCAGGTGTAGTAGAGTAATAGAAATCCAACAGACCCAACAGTCATGACATGCATGCTGTTGATTCTGTGTCATTGAATCACTAATTGAAAGGGGCGTGTTCACAATAATAGCCGTGTGGAGTTCTATTAGTGAGGTCATTCATTCTTTGAAAAACAGGTGGCAATTATTGCCCTTATTTAAGGAAGGAAGGCAGCAAATGTTGGACATGCTGGTTACAGTGCATTTCTCTGAAAATGGGTCGTTCCAGACATTGTTCAGAAGAACAGCGTACCTTGATTAAAACGTTGATTGGAGAGGGGAAAACATATAAAGAAGTACAGAAAATGATCGGCTGCTCAGCTCTAAAATGATGGCAAATGCTTTAAAATGGCAACCAAAACCTGAAAGACGTGGAAAGAAAGAAAAAAAAAAACTACCATTGGAATGGATAGAAGAATAGCCAAAATGGGGCGGACTCAGCCAACAATCAGCTCCAGGAAGATGAAAGAAGGTGTGACGTTCCCTGTGAGGACTGTTACAATTAGAAGACGCCTATGTGAAGCCAAGCTATCTGCAAGAAGCCCCAGCAAAGTCCCACTGTTGGAAAAAAGACGTGTGCTGAAGAGGATACAATCTGCCAAAGAGCACATTGACCGGCCTAAAGAGAAATGGCGCAACATTTTGTGGACTGATGAAAGTAAGATTGTTCTTTTTGGGTCTAGTGGGCGGAGACAGTTTGTCAGACGACCCCCAAACACTGAATTCAAGCCACAGTACACTGTGAAGACCGTGAAGCATGGTGGTGCAAGCATCATGATATGGGGATGTTTCTCATACTACGGTGCTGGGCCTATTTATCGCATACCAGGGATCATGGATCAGTTTGAAGACATCAGAATACTTGAAGAGGTCATGCTGCCTTATGCTGAAGAGGAAATGCCCTTGAAATGGGTGTTCCAACAAGACAACGACCCCAAACACACCAGTAAACGTGCAACATCTTGGTTCCAGACCAACAAGATGGACGTTATGGAGTGGCCAGCCCAATCCCCGGATCTTCATCCAATAGAAAACTTGTGGGGTGACATCAAAAATGCCGTTTCTGAGGCAAAACCAAGAAATAGAGAAGAACTGTGGAATGTAGTCCAATCATCCTGGGCTGGAATACCTGATCACAGGGGCCAGACGTTGGGTGACTCCATGCAACACAGATGTACAGCAGTTCTCAGAAACAGTGCGACTACAACCAAATATTCATGAAGTCATTCAGAGGAAAGCAAAATCTTCAAACATTTCTCAGTTTATATAGTGAATGTTGGAGTTTGTAAAGAAGAATACAAACACTGCGATTTTTTTGAACCGTCTAATATTCACTTTTCTTCAATTTTTTTTAGAGGAACAACACAAATTTGATGTATTTTTCTTCATGTTGTGATTTGGAATAGAATGTGTCGTGTTCCCAATGCATTTGTGTGGATGGAAATAAAAGCTATTAGAAGGATTTTCAGCTTTATTCACTTTTTTCAACACACTGCTATTATTTTGAACACAACTGTATATATATATATATATATATATATATATATATATACACATATATATATACAAAGTGATATACACATGAAGAAAAATAAATAAATGGAAATAGAAAAAGGTGCTAATTCAGGTGCATTGACTAGGCCTTGAGGCCTGATACCAGCTTAGGTGTCCCAAACCCATAGTGCTCATCTGGCTGCCCCAGGATGCCACTCCCAGGAGATGCTGGACACTGTGGGCCTTATGCTTTCCCAGCACTCAGCCGGACAAGGTAGCTTAAGGGCCAGTTCACACCACATGCAGTGCATTTTTTTCTGCACCAAAAACGCATTGAGTGTAGGTTACATGGTTTCCAATGGCATATTTCACATCAGTGTGCTCAGTTCCAGTGTGTTCTAGTCCCAGAAAAAAAAGTAGAACGTGCTGCATTTTTTTCTGCACTGATCTGTACTGAAACGCAGTAACATACAGAAAAAATGCACCGGAACACACTAAAAATGCACTGGAATGCACATATCGTTATCTAACTTGAAGAAAAAGAGAAAAAGTGAACCTAAACCCATCAAAAATGCACAAGAATGCATCAACACAGTGGAGCGTGTCAAAAACATGCATGCAGAGGCGCATCTGGAAAATGTCCGGAGTGCGTTTCTATGGTGTGAACCAGCCCTAAAACAGGAGCAATGCCCCCCCCCCCCCCCCCCCCAGATTCCCACACACTAAGAAATTACTTCCACCTTACATGGTACATTCTCAATTCAGGTTCCTTGCCATGGAGGAGATCCTTCAGCACCCCCATCATACCACAAAGAATACTATACAGCCAGCCATTCCAGCCAAAAGGCCAGAAGGATAGCAGAGCACCCCGACTTAACATTGATAAGAACAGATACTACACTTGATCTTTGTCAAAAAGCTGAGACAGAATGTAATAGGAAATCCAAATTTATAGAAATAGAGGTGAGGGGAAATTTACCAACAGTACATTTCTGGTGACAACTGTCTTAAAGGGAAATAAGATTGTAGAGATTTTCTTAAGCTTCCTGTTGCATCTCTGGGACAGGTAACAACGAGAAATCTCCTTAAAATATTTTTTTTATTCAAGAACTTGAGGTATGAAGGACGATAGCCTCAAATCAGCTTTTCCAATAGGCTGCAGGGAGGATGAGTAACATCACTGCAACCCAAATGACCTGGCAGGAGGGCAAGGTCTAAAACAGAGGTCTCCAAACTACAACCAACAGGCCAAATCTGGCCCATTGCAAGTTTGTTATCTGCCCCACAGATCTTCAGGTCAGTCTATGCTCTTAATGTCTCCCCAACATCCACCACCCCCTCCTTCAGGCTCCAGTGCAGGTTCCCCTAACTGTGCTGTCATTGTATGTTTGTTGGTTGCTAACCAGTCCCAACAACCAGTCATGTGCTTGCCCTAGCATTCAACGGAGGGCTCTTCCTCTGATGCAAGGGGAACTCTGATGGGACTCTGATTTATGGACAGACTTTGAAGGTGAGTCTGATATAAGGAGGTCTCTGGTGGAGACTATAATGTAAGGGGGGCTCTGATGGGGACCCTGATGTAAGAGTGGGTTTGATGGGATCAGGTTTATTTGGAATTTCTTTACTTTACTGTTGTTCTGAATCATATCATGCTAAAAAAATACAAAAAAGCTCCAAGAAAAACATTTTCATCATTTAATTTATATTGATTTACTTATTAAGCACTTTTTCCGACCCACAAATGTTTGTTAAATATACAATGTGGCCCTTGCACTAAACATTTTTATAGGGTCCAATATACTGTAAGCATCTTTTCCTCATTTTTCCATCCTTTTGCCAGAAGTCCCCCTTCCAAAAGCCAATCAGAAGCTGTGCTGTGGTTGGTAATGGTGGCATCTTAAACAACAGCTCTTGTGGTGCCGAAATTGACGGGGCTGACTTTGTTTTCAGGTGAGAATAAAGATAATGATTGAAGAAAAGTCTATGAGATGTGGTCATTGATCCAGTGATCTGCCATGTTTGCCGCTCTTGGCCCTCAAATCTTCTATTACTTCTCTCTAGGTTAAATTTTCCTCCACTGAACTGGACGAATGACGTTGGGACAAAGACCGACCTTGTCACTTCAAACCCAAGCATCTTAATTAATAAGTACGTGGTAGGACTTCTCTATAAGACACAGAAATATATATAGACCATGGATTTGTATTTATTTGTTTTATGATGTGTGTGCACTTGGGACAAGGCTAAATATTCGGTACCCAAAATTATCAATGGGCAATGCTTTAAATGCCTTTACAACTCATAAGTTTAAAGTAAATTGTAAATGCTGGCCCTAGAATTATTGCTCTCACTCAAAGATTGTGTAGAGTCCCCCTACCATAGTTACAACCCAACCTTTGAGTCTGGTATGGATTTTAAGTAGGTACCTCACACACAAACCCCCCCCAAAAAATGTGTGAGGACTCCTGGAAATACAGTATATACCAAACCCTCAATCTGAGCATGCATCCTGGCTGGCCGGGAAAGGGAGGGAATGAGCCATCCTTCCTTGACCATACTATGGCCACATGCCCTCAAGATGGGGAGTACTTTGCCTGCAAAGTACCTTGTCCCCATGTTGATGAGGACAAGGACCTCTTCTCCACAACCCCTGCCCAGTGTTTGAGGGGTGGTCTGTGGGTAGGAGCTTATCAAAATCTGGAAGCCCCTTTAACAATAAGGGAGGCACCCAGATACCCCCATCCTTCCATGTGAATGAGTATAAGCTACATACTACCCCTACTCATTTGCAAAAAAAGTTGCAACCAGGGGCAGACTAACCATTTGGAAACTCAGGCCCAGGGTCAGTAAGGGGCCCCATGAGATGCCCCTGGTACCTTTTTCATAGGCTTTTTTTGAGTTTGGGCAAGGACACAGGGGCCCCATGATCCCCTATTGCCCGGGGGCCCCATGAGTTGTCAGTCCGCCCCTGGTTGCAACCTAGAAATAAAGACACCAAAACGTTTTATAAGTCCTTAAAAAAAAAATCCCCCAAAAAAGTCCACCATTGTCAATCACATTACCAAGTGATGCAGATCCATGTCAATCACAATACCTGATAGCCAACGACCTGTCAAAAGTAAAAAAAAAGACACCACCAAGTCACATTCCACTCATTTGCTTGTCATCCACCAATTGGAAAGTCTGATGGATCAGAACTGTTATATACGAGGGTTCCACAGTAATGTCATCAATCATATACAGTATGTACATTACCATATATGGTCAATTACGCCAATGGGATGCCTCCCGTCTGTTTACATGGCTGGAGATTCCCAGCCACATAAATGAAAGGGTCCGTAAGTTCACTGGTTGTTAAGGACTCGGCAGTGCCTGCACCCACTGGTATCCTCATCCTGAGACTCTCATGTCTAATAGTGGTAGTAATTGTTCTGTTATACATAATGTTCTACTCTCGCTGAACTGGTAAATGTTTGGCATTCATCCAAAAGTCCAAGTAGCCAATTCTCAGCCCAAACCTTGAGCTCACCCCTAATAATTAATTTCCATGGTCAACCGCTTCATCTAGTGGTCAATATATGGTATAGCTTTCTAAAATACCTCAATAAGAAAACATAGTTCATTTTGCCCATTAGATGGAGCTGATGACCATAGACTTTATTAAAGGATTTACAGACAAAGTTTGTGCAGCATGTTTGACATTCATCCAACTAATGTTTATAAATAGATGCCTTAAATTGCGTATTACCAATTTTTTGTTGCTTTACATAGAATAGAGAAGGGTTAAAACCCCTGAGAGATTATTTTCTTGCTGTATGTGTGCCATTGGAGAAATTTCCCTTTACATCACGTTTTAGAGATGCAACAGCAAGTGAGAGAAAATCTCCAAAAATAAGCTGAATTACCCATTTAGACAGTGGAATAAGAGTCCCCATTGGAAGATTTCTACACACCAGACACTTCTGGGGACAACTCTAAAATGTTCAATTTACTTAATTTTCTTTCTTGGTGACAAATCATTCTTGGGGGTAAATCTCTCCAGCAGAGACACCAACAGCAAAAAAAAACCCCCAAAAAACAGAGATGGTCTATCCATTCCTGACTGTATCCAAAACAAAAAGAAAAGGTGTTGCCTGTCCTGGTGTTCCCGACTGTCCTGAGGTCTACAGAACCCTCTAAGTTATGGAGAAGAGGAGAGAAGGTGGGTTCTTCAGTCCTGTACTATTGCGACAATGCTGCTTCCACATAGCTACAGTACCATGAGTGAGCATTATCACCCTAGGATAGGAAGTGTGTTCCTGGCAGGATCGCCAGGTAAAAATGAAGAAGAGAAAAGCCTAAAATTCAAAGACAAATGCAGCTGCCACACCTAAGTACTGGTAAGCTGCGATATATATTGAATTTTTGTTCTTGAGTTTATATATACTTCGATTATATCTCCTTCACTAGGTTCAGCAGTCTCACCGAGATGAGGAAGCCATTTATCATGATGGTGCAGGAGTATGGCTCTCCTTTGATCCTCCTACCTGCTTTCTCCTATTCAGCAAACACAAAGGTCTCCCTTCGGGTGCTCTACACTATTGAGGACTTTGACTTGAACAGCAAGGTTGTCTTCTTCAACCCGAACTATCTTGTAAAACTGTCTGCTCACTGGGAAAAAAGAGGACTCAAGTTTGTCCGTCTTTCTTCGGGACTTATGGTGGTGAGCATAGCAATGGAAGTTTGTGAGAAAGTCACTCTTTATGGCTTTTGGCCCTTTTCCAAAGATCTGGATGGCCTTCCAATCCTTCATCACTATTATGACGACGTTCCACCAAAGCCTGGCATCCACGCGATGCCTGATGAATTTTATCAATACCTACAAATGCACGTTCAAGGGTCTCTACGTCTGAACCTGGAACATTGCTAAATATTTTGTGTAGTACGGCAAAACTAGGAAAGGTGTAATGTACAGAGATTTGCACAGGATAAAATGGTGGATCCATTACAATGCAGGAAATATTTTTACCTTTGTTTAGTGATATTGGATAGTCTGTGAGGGTGCACATTATGAAGGAGCTGCAGCGGCTTATGGCAGCAGTTTGGGGTATGTAGGATGAATGAATAGGAAGAGAGAGGGATCACAGGTTGGGCAAAATGTAGGAAGGATTGGAAGTAGAGCAAGCTCATTAGTCAAGGATTTGGGGTAAGTGATGCAGGAAAAAGGATGTTTATAGGAATTGACGTCTTTGTCTAGTAAGTTAACCTGCACTCAAGTTATGGCATCAGCATGAAGTAGCAAAGAGATTTAAACACCTAGAGGGGCTTACACTTAGATTTAGATTGAAGTAAACTCCAAACCTTGAGGCTCTCAATGACGCTACTGACTTCTGTTCTTTAAGTCACACCATCCAACCTCCTTATCCTCATCAATTGTCCATAGCTATCTCCATCACATCCAACAACGCCAATATCGAACCCGCCCTGCAGGCCAGAGTACTTGGTGTCATTCTGGACTCTACCTATCCTTCCAGCCCCAAGTCCAATCTTTAACAAACTCGTGCAGACTCCCCCTCCACAACATCGCCAAAATCCGCACGTTCCTAACCCCAGAAACCACTAAGCAGCTCATCCACTCCCTCATCATATCACAACTCAACTACTGCAACTCCCTCCTCACTGGCCTGCCTCGCCGCTGGCTATCCCCGCTTCAGTCAATCCTGAATACGGCTGCCAGACTCATTCACCTTTCCAATTGCTCCGTTTCCGCCACCCCCCTCTGCCAATCCCTCCACTGGCTTCCGATTGCCCAACGGATCAAATTTAAAATCCTAACACTGACGTACAAAGCTGTCCACCATACTGCCCCGAACTACATCACTGACCTAATATCCAAGTACCACCCAACACGCACACTCCGCTCCTCACAAGACCTCCTTCTCTCTAGTTCCCTGGTCTCCTCCTCCCATGCCCGCCTCCAGGACTCCTCCAAGGTGTCACCCATCCTCTGGAACTCCCTTCCCCAACCTATCAGATTATCACCTACTCTCCTCTCCTTTAGGCGCACCCTGAAAACCCATCTCTTCAGGGAAGCCTACCCCACCCCCTGCTAACTTGACCGACCTCCTCCACTCTTCCTACCACTCCATCCCCCACAGCTATCTCCTCCTGTACCACTATCCCGTCCCTTCTAGATTGTAAGCTCCAAGGAGCAGGGCCCTCCATCCCCTCATGTTTTGCATTGTATTGGTATTGTTCTGTCACATGTTCTGTCCTCCTTTGTAATGTACAACGCTGAGCGAACTATTGGCGCTTTATAAATACTGTATAATAATAATAATAATAGCTATAATAGGCTGCGCAGTGGCGGAAGTACCAGGGTCGCAAAGGTCGCACTTGTGACCAGGCCCTGGCATTCCGCCACTGTGGGGGGCCAGGATTCAGGGCCAAAACTAGGGGGAGAACATGTGCCCCACTCCATCCCAATCATCATCACTCCCTTTATGACATGAGAGAACCAGTAGCTGCAATTTCTGGGGACACATGCTCGCCCTCTCCATTCACAGCCCCTGAACCCATCTGCAGAGATGGGTGCAGAGTGACCCAGCTGAGTGATCAGTGATGTGGAGCACCATCCTCATCCTCCTCTTCCTCAGATGCCAACTAGACACCCTCCTGCCCGACCTGGGCCCCAACAGGTGAGCATCACATCATTCCATGTGAGTCCAGGGCTGGAGGGAAGGGAATGTGAGGGTAAGGATCTGATTACAATCTAAAGTAATGGGGAGAAGGAGAGAAGTGTTAGAAGAGAGGAGAAAATGATCATCGTGAGGATGAAAGTAAGGATGATAATAGAGATGAAGAAAGTGATGGTGAAGATGATAAGGATGGGGATGGAAGTGATGTGAATGATAATAATGGATGGTGAGGACAGAGATCATGTATAGTATTGAGGGAAGTGAGTAAAGTGATGGTGAGGATGATGATGATGACAGTGAAGAAGATGATGATGACAAAGGCAAGAATTGAGGATGATGATTATGGAAAAAGAACAAAAATTGTGATGATAATGATAAGAATGATGATGGTGAGGATAAATAATGAGGTTCAATCAAGCAGTATTCTTTCCTTCAACCCATGAAAAGAAAATTGTATAATGTATGTCCAGTCTAAGGCACAGGAATCTGAGGGTGGGGGGCTCACCCAAGCTTGCTATTGACCCCTTCAACCCGACATACACATAGACGACCTCACTGGACTGGGCTTTTTGCCATATATACCAGTCTTTGTGCTGGGAACGCGCCGCACAGCTCACTCTCAGTACAAAGACTGGGTTGTCACTGAGAGCCCCGGGTCCCATACTAATGATCAGGACCCGGAACACCCGATTCCATGTCACCTGATCATTGTGGTAGCCTCTGATTGGCTGCTATAGTGATCAGTCACTGTGAAGCCCGCCCGTGTGTTTCTCTCTCTGTGAATGGAGGGGAAAGATACAGTACATTATATCTTACTCCTTGCAGAGAGAAAAGAAAATTGTTTGTAAAAAAAAAATAATAACTAATAATTAAAAAGAAAATTAAAGATAAAGCAAAAATACCTAAAGTGTTACTAAAAACACAACAGTAAAATCATTCTGTATATGTAGTAAAGCATGCTTGTTATACTCACTGTGGAACCTAAGGGGTTAATCCTCTGCATTGTGTAAAAATGATGTTTGATCCTGACTTCTCTGATTCTCCCCATCCTATACTGTCCCCAATCCATCTGCTGATAGAACAGACCCTTGGTGGCAAGCTGCACATACTCAGTCTGGTGTGTATTGCTAGAGATGTTTTTTTTTTTTTCTTGGGAGAGTGCATGTGATCATCACAGGGCCAATCAGCACTGTCCAGACAGAGGGTCAGGGGTCATGCAGTCTCAATCGAAAATATATGCCTAGGTTGATTTTCCACGAAGGCAGAGCAACGGTGCTCCAAAGCTGACAATGCAGTCAGACAAGTACCGTTCTCCTGGCAATCACCAAACCCAGACACGTCCATCGGATTGCCAGACAGAGAAGCGTGATTGTTCACTCCAGAGAACACGTCTCCACTGCTCTAGAGTCCAGTGGCGGCGTGCTTTACACCACGGCATCCGACGCTTTGCATTGCACTTGGTGATGGAAGGCTTGGATGCAGCTGCTCGGCCATGGAAACCCATTCCATGAAGCTCTCTACGCACTGTTGTTGGGCTCATCTGAAGGCCACACCAAGTTTGGAGGTCTTTAGCTATTGACTCTGCAGACAGTTGGTGACTTCTGCGCACTGTGCGCTTCAGTATGCCCTGACCCCGCTCTGTCATTTTATGATATTATTTATGATTTTATAGTATTTGAATAATTAAAGTGTTAGTTCACCTTTACCAGAAAATTGCCTACGTAGATTAGGGGTGTCTCTGACTAAAGTTGAATAATGTTCTTGCTATAGGTGTAGGCCGTTTATGTAAAGGTGACCGATCCCTTTCAGCAGAAAAGAAACTGGAAGTCACCTAAAGGTGTGCAAAATTATTATTTTTTTTTCTATATATAATTTGTTCAGCTTATAAATATAGCAATCCACATGTGGAATTTTGCACTAAATTCTGAGATCTCAGACAGACTGGCCACCAATGGGGTAAATTTCACATCGTCATAGAATGTTCCAGGAAAGAATAGGGCCTGGAGCTAGATGGGCAGCATAGGCGGAAGGCCAGACATGACTGGGTCTGCAGGACAGGCTGGAGTAACACGGGGTTAAAATTAGTTAGCTTTGGTTCAAAGTTTAATATCCCATCTGATTGGAGGAACATTGAGTGGGGTAGTGAGAGGCAGGGTGGGCCCCGGAAGGGAAAAGAGGGTGGAGCATTTTCCTCGGTCAGTCAGAGCTGGTACAGCAGAGAACAAGCTTCTCCCTCCCATGATACATAGTTTGGCTTCAGATGGTTTGGCCTTATCTTAGATTTCTTGATGTCTCTTCTTTTGGGGGAATATTTGTTTTCTTTCTGGGTTGTGTTGTAGAAGTTGGATGGGGGTGTCACAATATACAGTAGGTGCTCTGCCAGGCCCAGGTATTAATCCCTTGTGCCCAGAGGAAGTACATCCTCAATTAGTGTTCTACTCCTGTGTGCCAAATGCGCCTAGCTGTTATTAATGCACCCCCCTCCACCCGCATCCTGCCAAAAGGTCCACAAATTCAATTACTGTATTTCCTTTCCTGTCCATCCTGTTTTGTGCCCAAATGTAATTGTAGCTATCTCTCTTCAGAGATAGCAGGCTCACACCCCTCCCTGGAGAGGTGCGAACCTCCTGTGGGGAAGATCCGGGTCCCAGCATCACAGTGACGCCACACGACGATCCATACGTTCGTGAACGAAAGTTTGAGCGCTTACGAACACCTCCCGGGGGGGTGTGCCCCGTTGCCGAGGAACAAGGCACGCCGCCCACAGCCCGCCCCGGTTACCAGGATGACCGGGAAGCGTCCAACACTGGTTTAAGAGACCGGTGCTAGGCTCTCCCGATCATCCTCTCTGCTGTGCAGTCACTGAGGGAGCCCCAGCTGCGGCGGGACCCTCGTGACCAGACTCTGCCCCAAGACCCCAACTGGATACGGGGGGACATCAGCTCTGCCTGAGACCACCACATCAGCTCTGCCTGAGACCACCACATCAGCTCTGCCTGAGACTACCACATCAGCTCTGCCTGAGACCACCACATCAGCTCTGCCTGAGACCACCACATCAGCTCTGCGTGAATGTATGCTCCCCCCTGTTTTATCTGAACTGTTTGTGAACTGCCCCTACCTCCCTGTTGGATTACAAATTGCTGTAGAGACTTTAACTTTGCCCACCGGGGCTGGATTACAAGTATTTTGGGCTCTCTCTCTGTACTACTCTCCTACTAATGTGGCCGTCCGCCCTGCAATTTCCCCATTGAGTGACTGTTGTCTTTTTCAATAAAGCTTTAAGTGTTTGCCATCTGCCCTGTGTGTTCTGTCCCGCCTACCCTCCGTCACAGGGGGTCTCAGGGTCTTTTAAGGCAGTAACTGGTAAAATGGTTGGAGAATGAGTGGGTTGGGCCCATCTCAGGTTTGGATGTACCTTCCCTAGTTAAGTGAAGGAGTCATTCAGCTGTATTGAGGTTCATGGATAGTAAATTGTCCTCGAGCCGGCGTGTTTGCGGTTGGGGCCTTCAAGTCTATGTGGTGGTAGATATAGCCGGTCAGTTGAATACAAGTTGACTTAAAAGACCTTTAGACTGTAAGAAGTTTAGTTACTGTAATTACATTGTGGTCAGCGATGTTCACATGTTTAAACAAGTAAATATGTATTTTTTAATAAAGTTGCATTTTATTATTTTTTTTCCAACAAAATGGCTGCTATGGCCTTTGGAATTCCAACTAATAAGATCGTTGTTGTCTGTTATTGGGGGAGACACAAGTAAACCACTCACCCTCCAGAGGATTTACTCCCCTTCAGGCCATTTGTTGTGATACGGCACTGTGTTATTTTAACTGACAATTGCACGGTCATGCAACGCTGCACCCAAATGAAATTTATGTCCTTTGTTTTCCTACAAATAGAGATTTCTTTTGGTGGTATTTGATCTCCTCTGTGTTTTTTATTTTTTGTGTTGGGAAAAAAAACAATATTTTAGAATTTTTCCTATTAAACATGTTCAGTTAAAAAAAAAAAAAAAAATAGCACCAGAAGCCATCCAGTCACAGTGCTGGGGCATGCTGATAGGAGGAGAGAGCTGAGTGACAGAGGTGTGCAGATGCTAAAGCGTTTCAAGGGGAGTTCCCTATTCATTAGACCAGGGGTGGGCAACTGTGGCCCTCTAGCTGTTGTAGAAGTACAAGTCCCATGAGGCATTGCAAAACTGACAGTTACAAGCATGGCTCCCAAAGGCAGAGGCATGATGGGACTTGTAGTTCACCAACAGCTGGACAGTTGCCCACCCCTGCATTAGAGCTAAAGCTTTTTTTTGTATTGTTAGCACTTTTTTCTTTTTTTTTTCTTTTTTTTTTTGTTAATGTTTGAGGATAGATACATAATATACAACATGTGTTTTTTATTTTTTTGTGTTGGAAAAAAAAACAATATTTTTGTATTTTTGCTATTAAACATATTCAGTAAATAAAAAAAATTAAAAAAAAGCACCAGAAGTCATCCAGTCACTATGCTGGGGCATGCGGATAGGAGCAGAGAGCTGAGTGACAGAGGTGTGCAGATGCTAGAGCGTTTCAAGGGGAGTTCCCTATTCATTAGAGCTAAAGCTTTTTTTTGTATTGTTAGCACTTTTTTTTCTTTTTTTTTTTCTTTTTTTTGTTAATGTTTGAGGATAGATACATAATATACAACATGTGTTTTTTTTTATTTTTTTGTGTTGAAAAAAAAAAAAAACAATATTTTAGAATTTTTGCTATTAAACATGTTCAGTAAAAAAAAAAAAAAAAAATAGCACCAGAAGCCATCCAGTCACAGTGCTGGGACATGCTGATAGGAGGAGAGAGCTGAGTGACAGAGGTGTGCAGATGCTAAAGCGTTTCAAGGGGAGTCCCCTATTCATTAGACCAGGGGTGGGCAACTGTGGCCCTCTAGCTGTTGTAGAACTACAAGTCCCATGAGGCATTGCAAAACTGACAGTTACAAGCATGGCTCCCAAAGGCAGAGGCATGATGGGACTTGTAGTTCACCAACAGCTGGAGGGCCACAGTTGCCCACCCCTGCATTAGAGCTAAAGCTTTTTTTTGTATTGTTAGCACTTTTTTCTTTTTTTTTTTCTTTTTTTTTGTTAATGTTTGAGGATAAATACATAATATACAACATGTGTTTTTTATTTTTTTGTGTTGGAAAAAAAACAATATTTTTGTATTTTTGCTATTAAACATATTCAGTAAATAAAAAAATAAAAAAAAAGCACCAGAAGCCATCCAGTCACTATGCTGGGGCATGCTGATAGGAGCAGAGAGCTGAGTGACAGAGGTGTGCAGATGCTAGAGCGTTTCAAGGGGAGTTCCCTATTCATTAGAGCTAAAGCTTTTTTTTTGTATTGTTAGCACTTTTTTCTTTTTTTTTCTTTTTTTTTGTTAATGTTTGAGGATAGATACATAATATACAACATGTGTTTTTTATTTTTTTGTGTTGGAAAAAAAAAAACAATATTTTAGAATTTTTGCTATTAAACATGTTCAGTTAAAAAAAAAAAAAAAAAATAGCACCAGAAGCCATCCAGTCACAGTGCTGGGGCATGCTGATAGGAGCAGAGAGCTGAGTGACAGAGGTGTGCAGATGCTAAAGCGTTTCAAGGGGAGTCCCCTATTCATTAGACCAGGGGTGGGCAACTGTGGCCCTCTAGCTGTTGTAGAACTACAAGTCCCATGAGGCATTGCAAAACTGACAGTTACAAGCATGGCTCCCAAAGGCAGAGGCATGATGGGACTTGTAGTTCACCAACAGCTGGAGGGCCACAGTTGCCCACCCCTGCATTAGAGCTAAAGCTTTTTTTTGTATTGTTAGCACTTTTTTCTTTTTTTTTTGTTTTTTTTTGTTAATGTTTGAGGATAAAAACATAATATACAAATTGTGGAAAACACCCCACAAAACCCATTCTTGTTTATGATCTTACTCTACTTTTCTTTCTAAAATTTTTGAAATGTAAGAATTCAGGACGCACGTCCATTTCCATCTGAGGGCCAATAAATCTATTGATCTAGGAGTCAATGATTAGGCCCTGTTCATGTTGAAATGTCAGGGAAGTAGAGGAGCCTGGCACCAGATAGAAACATTTATTGATGTTTTGGTCCAAGCGGTATGCGGACTGCGCTGATGAGCGATCTTTTCAAAATCTTTTTTTTTTAAAGAGCTCTAACAAATTTTTTTTTCGCTTTTATGTATATAGTTTGTATTATTTCATAGGGGTGCATGACCATAAGTGTTATGTTTATAAACAAAGCCATGTGATCAGCATGTCCTGGGCAACATCATTGGCTCTGTTTGTGAAAGACTTTGGTTGGTCAACAAAGCCATGTGATGTAACACCATTGGCTTTAACCCCTCCTCCTCCAGAGGATTTACCCACCCCCCCGTTCCCGACCAGGCCATTTTTTGTGCTACGTCGCGGCATTACTTTAACCACTTCCTGTCCGGACACTTTCACCCCCTTCCTGACCAGGGCAATTTTCAGCTTTCAGCGTTGTCACACTTTGAATGACAATTGCGCGGTCATGCAACACTGTACCCAAATGAATTTTGTACCATTTTTTTGAGACAGATAAAGCTTTATTTTGGTGGTATTTATTCACCGCTGGGATTTTTATTTTTTTTTGCTATATAAATGAAAAAGTCCAAAAACTTTGAAAAAAAGTGTTTTTTTTTTATATAAAATTTTGCAAATTAATAATATTTCATCATAAATCTTTGCCAAAATGTATTCCGTTATCTTTTTAGTAAAAAAAAAAAAAAATCCAAATTAGTTTATAACCAAAAATTATAATTTTTAAACATTTTGTTTTACATTTTTATTTTATATTTTTATATTATTATTATTATTATTATTATATTTTTTTTTTTACATACTGTCACCCTAGCAGTACAGTGTCACCATGGTGACACTGTACTACTTGTGGGGAGTGATGAAGATTTTTTTTTTTTTTACACTGATTGCTGTTGCACCCATAAAGGATGTAAAAGCAATCATTTCTCTTTCTCTCTGGCTGCATTCTTGCACTCATTGAGAAGTACTGAGTGAGCTGTGATTGGTCACAGCTTGTCACATGGTACAAGCCTGTTGTGAATAGCCCTGTACCATGTGACCTCTGTGATCATTCACAGATTTCACACGTAGTAAGCAATGATGTCAGAAGTGACATCTTGCTTACTACTCTGCATGTGATCACTGATTGGCCAATCAGTGATCACATGATCGGGACCTCGTACAGAGGTCTCGTCCGACGATCGGTGTTTCACTGTGTCCGGAGGACACAGCGGGCACCGGATCGCGGTGCTGCGCGCTCCCAGGGAGTGCACGCAAGCAGGGTGCGGGGAGGCTGTTTATAAACGACCACCCGACCCTGCACTGCCACCGTCCGGCCATTTATATGCAACGGCCGATCGGGAAGTGGTTAACTGACAATTGCACGGTCATGCAACGCTGCACCCAAATTAAATTTGTGTTATTTTTTTCCCACAAATAGATATTTCTTTCGATGGTATTTGATCCCCTGTGTGGTTTTTATTTTTTGCGCTATAAACAAAAAAGACTGATAATTTTGAAAAAAAAACTATTTTTGACTTTTTGCTGTAAATCATGTCCAGTAAAAAAATTTAATAAATCAAATTTCGTCATAAATTTAGACCACAATGTATCCCGCTCCGTGTCTTTGCTAACAAAGATCCCAATACATGTAAATTAATTGGTTTACATGAAAGTTATAGCGTCTGCAAATGGCGGTATAGATACTGGGAATTTTTTTTTAACTAGTAATGGCGGCGATCAGCGACTTATAACGGGACTGAGGCGGGCATTCTAACACTGGGGGGGGGGGGGGGGCTGACTTGGTGTCACTGACATGCTAATAAAAAGCACTGACACTGTACTAATGGCACTGGGCAGGAAGGGTTTAACATTAGTGGTGATCAAAGGGTTAACTGTGTGCTGTCTCACTATGTGGACTGTGTCTGTGTTTCACTGTCAGCACACTGTTATGCAGAGCCATACAAAGCAGTGTGCAGGAGCTGACAGGGGAGAGATCTGTGTTGTTTATATACAGGTCCCTCCCCCGTCCGTAATACTTGGCAATCACCAGGTGCCGGCGGGGAATCACCATCTGGGACTCGGTGATTGACAGGCAAGGACGCGAATGGTGGCGCGGGTAGGGTGCGAGGGTGGCGAACATGCACTCTCCCTACCTGGAATTGCAAAATCACGTATATATATGTGATTTTGCGCACTCATGCTGCCTGTAGCAATATTTCTGCTATAGGACGGCGTAAAACCAGTTAAAGAGAAACATCACTGCATATGGACATTAACCACTTCCCGCCCGGCCTATAGCAAATTGACTTCTGGGTGCAACTTTTGTCGTTCTTGGTGGATATCATATGATGTCCTTCTGTAACGAGCCTCATGCGCAGCCGAGCTGCTGGCACAGTGTGTTCACCGGCTGTGTCATTGTACTAGCCTGCTGCCAGTACCATGTGACCGCTGTGCCCAATCACAGAAGATCACATGACAAGCGCACACAGTGAATGGCTTTGATTCATGCCATTCATTGTGTACAACTGTGTTGTCAGCTGTGATTTGTCACAGTGATCACATGGTACAGTCAGGACCAATCACAGCCCATCGGTACCATGTGATTAGCTGTGGCAAATCACAGCAAAAAAAAAACCTGAATTTTACTGACTATTTTAGTCAGTAAAAATGATTTCTAGTAGCAGTGAAATTCACTGCTAAAAGCAATCGGAATGTGTAAAAAGGAAATAAAAAATCCTCATCAATTCCCCAGAGTAGTAAAATGTTACTATGGTAACAGAGTGCTTAAAAAAAATCATTAAAAAAAGAAAATAAATTTAATAACAAAGAAAAAAATGTATTTAATTATATTTTTTTTTGGTCTGTCACCAGTCAGTGTCACCGTCACACCAGTTATATGATGACGCTGTTCTGTACTGGTGACAGTGTGTAAAAAAAAAAAAAAAAAAAGATGTCTTAGAAAAGAGTACCTGTCACTGCCTATTGCTATTGCAGGGGATTCGTATATTCCCTGTGATAACAATAAAAGTGATAACAAAATGTAAAGTGACAGTAAAAAAAAATAAAAAAAATACCAAAGAAATTTTTTTTTTCGTACTGTCACCAGTGTCCCTGATCACCCTCACACCCAGGGGCGGACCGACAACTCGTGGGGCCCCCGGGCAATAGGGGATCATGGGGCCCCTGTGTCCTTGCCCAAACTCAAAAAAGCTTATGAAAAAGGTACCAGGGGCATCTCATGGGGCCCCATACTGACCCCCTGGGCAATAGGGGACCATGGGGCCCCTGTGTCCTTGCCCAAACTCAAAAAAAGCCTATGAAAAAGGTACCAGGGGCATCTCATGGGCCCCCTACTGACTCCAGGCCCTCGGGCAGTGCCCGAGTTTCCAAATGGTCCCCTGGTCACACCAGTTATATGATGACGCTTTACTGCACTGGTGACAGTGTGTAAAAAAAAGATGGCTCAGAAAAGAGTACCCGTCACTGCCTATTGCTATTGCAGGGGATTCTTATATTCCCTGTGATAACAATAAAAGTGATAACAAAATGTAAAGTGACAGTAAAAAAAATAAAATAAATAAAAAATACCAAAGAAATTTTTTTTTTTTTTGTAGTGTCACCTGATCACTCTCACACCAGTTATATGATGACGCTTTACTGTACTGGTGACGGTGTGTAAAAAAAAAGATGTCTCAGAAAAGAGTACCTGTCAGTGGCTATTGCAGGGGATACATATATTCCCTGTGATAACAATAAAAGTGATAACAAAATGTAAAAAAAAAATTACTCATACTCAAAATGCTCATACGCAAAGGTGAACGCATGCGCCAGTCATCCATACAAGTAGAAAGCGATGGTCCCACACACGTGAGGTATCACCATTAATGTCAGATCCCGGGCAGTAATTCTAGCAGCACACCTTCTCTGTAAATCTGAAGCGGTAACCTGTAAAGGCTTTTAAAGTGTCGCCTATGGATAGTAAAATTTCAGTCGTTTGTCACTGTTGCATGGGTGTGCGTAATTTTAAAGTGTGGCATGTTTGGTATCTATTTACTCGATGTAACATCATCTTTTACATTTAACCAAAATAAAAATAAGTACAGCGAGCGCTCAAAATGTATAAGATGAATAAAATAATAAATTAAATTATATACCCAGCAGCAAATTGCACCGACATAGGATATCCTAAAAACCCAGTGATGACAAATATAGATAAACAGGTACAGTGCTAAAAAAAATGACAAAACTAGTATACATTCTATGCATTCAAATAAACGCGGTGCTAGTAAAAGTGCACCAATATAAGATATAGTCACACAGTCTTATTAAATAAAGATGCGTGAAAAAGCGTGCAGGCTTGACTCGGGAGGGTCAGCAATATCCAGTGGTAAAATCCAACTTCATAGATAATTTTCAGTGATAATAATTAGAGATGAGCGAATCGAATCAGGCGAAGTGGAATTCGTTTCGAATTTCAGGAAAAATTCGATTCGCGGCGAATCCGAATTTTTGCCGACTTCGGATGGTCGAAATCAAATTTTTCCTGATCGGCCGTTTTCATTCCTTCTACAGCCGGCAAAAATGTCCCTGCAGAGAGCTCCGCTATTTCTGACAGCTGTCTGACAGTTCCTTCACATTTCCAGCGGTTGAAACATTGTATGCATTTGTTTCCATTTAGGATGTTTTTATTAGGAAACAAATAGATACAATGTTTCAACCGCTGTAAATGTGAAGGAAC